TCAAACAATTGTGTTTGCTGACCAACAAAGATACAATCTATTTCAACAAGAACTCTGACTTTCAGTTGTGACAATCACGCTGCCAACTCTGACTAATGAAATATTAAATTCAACTGAGTAAAAGTTTTAGTACCAGTTTAACAAAACAACAGTCTTAATGCTGAGCAAAGCAACAACAAACTAGAAACAACTACACAACATTTGATAAGAACACTGAGGCACAAATCCAACTGTCCCCTTCCTCAGACAGAAAACACTCTTGCAGCAGGTTTTATGAATATGACATTATGGGAAGTCTCATATCCTCTGATTTATTTTGGTTGGCTGAGATAGCTGTAGAGGCCGCTGGGATCATTGTCTGCTTCTGTCTTCAATGAAGTCTTGATTGTAGAATAAGTCACCTCCTCCTCCTCCTCCTCCTCCTCCTCTTTGACCTGTGTGACACAATCCAGAGGTTTACAGTGACATTGTGATGAGCTGTGATTGGTTTTCATTCACATCGGGACCAGATATAATTACAGTCATATTTAGGAAGCTGGCTGTGCACGGGGGAATTATCATGTTGAAACAGTCGCCACAAAATTGGAAACACATCTTAAAATATGATTTTAGTCTTTAGCATTAAGATTTAAAATGAACATAACACATGCTGTGTAATTGATCATCAGCATATTAATAAAATATTGCAAAACAATTTCACTGCAAAGCTACAGAAGGTATTACTGCCCCTCCAGAAAAAGTAAAACAGATCAGTTTCACATTAAAACATGAAAAGTTTATTGTTATAACAAGATATTTTCATGTTATTACGATATACAAACTAATTACCTTATAACAATTAACTTGTGAAACGTGTAACAGCAGAAATGATAGTGACATGTATAACAATATTAGTTATTATATTATAACATGAAATATTTTACTTATAACAAAATAAATAGTATTTTGTTATAAAGAGAATATACAACAAGAAAAGTTATAATGTGATAAATTTGTGCTTATACAATATAGTAATATAAAATATCTTGTTATGATGTGAAAAACATCTTATAAACTTTTCACATTGTAACGTGATACTGATCAGTTTCTGTTTTTTTCTGGTATGACAGCAACACACTGCCGACAAAGCAAATTTAAGATTAAACCATTATTGAAGAAGAAAAGCACAGCTGAATAAATACAGGCGTATCGAGTCACTCACCTTTTTCTTAGGAGAGGTCTGTTGATTACCATGGCTAACAGTAGCATAGGTCAGATTGCTCTCTGGCTCTTCCTGAGTACAAATAACACAGTGGGTTATGAAACACAAACAGAAAGTGTTCACTGTATTGACTCTCCAGAAATGTATTCCTGAAAACCATCTCATACTCTTCCTTTTAACCAAGTCTGAAAATTATGAATTAAACATGAAATGAGTCAGTAATCCAGCTAATGTTAATCAGCAAACATTGTATTGATGTTTAATCCAACTTTATTGTCTGTATGACATAAAATAAGAAAGATATTAATACAAGGAGTCCAACGTGTGGTCGTGTTTCTGAGGTGAGGAAAGGGAAACATACCTCATCATTTACTGTCAGTTTGTCAGCAGTGGAATAATGCTGTAATGGATGTACAGTAAATATTGTTTGAGTACATATTAGTACATTTTAGGAAGCATATGAATATGATTGGGAGGTAACACAGTTGGTATTTGTCTTGTGATTGTTACATTTTACTCACAGGGTGTTGGGTTGGTTTTCGAACATCTGGAACAAAAAGTAACATTTGAAAGATTAGTTATCATCATTCTTTACATTATACACGTTATCTTTTATACTGCGGCCATAAAATACACTTGTTTGTGATTGACTGTCTGTTTCTATTAGCTAGGTTTGTATTATTGGTAATGCAAGGTATATATAATAATATAGTATAACATAGCATAACATCATAATAATATAATTTACCATTCAAGCATATTGTACATTATGTGTATCACATCATAATACTTTGTTTTACTGACCTGCTGTCACTTTGGCTCTCTTCCTGTATTTGATGAGAACAGCAGCGATGACAACCAGCACTACCACCACCCCGACCACTGCACCAATTATGATGTAGGTCTGATTATGAAACTGATCTGTTGTCAGAGGATACCAATTAGAAATTAAATTCATGAGATAATAGGTAATCAACTTAATAGAAAATATGTGATCAGATAGAGTTTTTGGTCAAATTTGGATTTTAAATATTAAAAAATTTGAACAAAAGGTGCAGAACATCATGTCAGATTTCACTTCCATGTTCTTTCTAAGCAGACTGCACACGACAACCACAAAAGAAACTTTGTCTTCACAAACTTGATACTATTTGTCCAAAGTTATTAGAATATAACTTATACAATGATTTTAAGTAAGTAACGAATTATCTAAGATACATTTAAAGTGACTTCACTGAACAGAGGTACAGATCATACTCACACACAGTACAAAATAAGAAGTACACTGCAACAGATATTGCAGTTCATTCTCAAGAAAGACTTAATAATAACCTGAATAATAATCTTCAGTTTTCACTCATCCATTCATTTATCTCAGGGTTTGCAAATATGACTTAATCAAGTGTTACTTCAGAGGTCAAGGAGCACATCATCAGCTAACATTAGTTTGTTAGGTTACAGGTTGTAATTACAAGTTTTTATATTTCTCTCTACTTCTTTACAGTATATTAGTCACTAGTTCGTTTCTTAAGGAACAAACTGATTAAAGTGTGAATGTTTTGTCATCTGAAGCTACATAACATCTGCTTGTTGTTGGCACAGAAAACTGTTAAATTATTTAAAGCATTTAAGGTGTAAAAAGATGTAAACATTAAACAATCATGTTAACTGAAAGCTATAATCCTTAGTGAAATTTCTGTATCTGGTGAGCTGCATATTATTTTACCTGAATTAGGTTCTTCTGGCTGATCGTCTCCTGTCCCTCCTATGAAGACAGGTGTGTAGTCAGCCTCTATCTTTACATTGTTCTCATCAACAAACTGGCAGGTGTATGTCTTGTTGTGGCCACTCTGACGCTTCACTTTCAGAACAGAGACACAGTTCTTCTGTCTGAGGAACTCGTACCCGACACCTTCATCAAGCAGCACAGTTCCTGTCTCATTCACCCAGCGGACACTGTTCTGTTCACAAGGACTGCGTCCATTGTATCTCGACAGAGAGCACACTAATGTGACTTCACCGTCCCTCTTTGGATCAGCGTCTGGAGGAGATGGAGAGACTGAGAGAAAACAAGTGATAACTGTTAACTCAGTGTAAAAAATGTTTGAGCGACTTTACTTAAAGGACAATGCTGGTGCAAAATGAACCTGGGGTTAATAACACATGTGTACCGAGTTGGTCCGTTCTCTGGGATATGTTTTCATGTTAATTGACTGTGACCGGTTTTAGCACAAACTGTTAATTAGCTTATAACGCTAGTCAACGGGGCACAGAGTAACGAGAAAATAAATCACTTTTTATACCACTAACAAGACTCAAAATAGCACCACACTTACACGGTAGCATAATGAGGGTCCCTACCTATAAACCGAAGCATTGAGAACTTTGTAAGTGTACAGACAGTTTATTAAAAAGATAGTTTAGAACAACAGTAGTGTTCGCGTATACAGGCGGGCGCTATCTTGGGAAAACAGTCAGGGGTTCGGTCATTCATGCAGATCAATGATCAAGATTTACAGCTGGCGATGTGAACTAAAACAAACGTAATTTGTTCAATATATCAGAAATAATCGCACCGATGTAAAACACAACTTGTCTAGTGTACTTACTCAGTGGATAACTGTCCATCTGGTCCCTCCGCTATGAGTCGCTGCCTACAATTTATTTTTGGGACATAGAAAAAAGTTTCGAGTACAGCTCTGTTTATCAGCGTTTCACGCGAGATTCACTTCACGTCTCCGTGGAAACGTTGTTGCCTGGAAGAAAGCACTGAGCACATAAGAGAAGCACTGAACGCAACAGAGACTAGTGCTTCCACAGGATACACACTAAAGAAATGGTGGATTATTCAACTGAATTTGAAGACATCGACAACGAACCCTTTCAGTTTGATGGACGTCCTTATCTTTTGGAGCCGGAATATACAGACGAAGAGCTGCGGGAGCTCCGTGAAAGGGCTACGAGAGAGAGAGAGCTACCTGTAGTCAATGCCGCAACACAGCCTCGTACTTCGTGAAATTGGTGGTGTACCTGCGGACATTGTGAAGCTATGGCCACTGAAGAGGAGTACCTGTGTTGCACGGAGTGGGACCTGTTGCATCGCGACACCCAAGAGACGCAGTGTTTTGTACAGTCAGTGCAGATTTCCCCTCTCTGATAAACAGAGCTGTACTCGCAGCGACTCATAGCGGAGGGACCAGATGGACAGTTATCCACTGAGTAAGTACACTAGACAAGTTGTGTTTTACATCGGTGCGATTATTTCTGATCTATTGAGCAAATTAGTTTGTTTTAGTTCACATCGCCAGCTGTAAATCTTGATCATTGATCTGCATGAATGACCGAACCCCTGACTGTTTTCCCAAGATAGCGCCCGCCTGTATACGCGAACGCTACTGTTGTTCTAAACTATCTTTTTAATAAACTGTCTGTACACTTACAAAGTTCTCAATGCTTCGGTTTATAGGTAGGGACCCTCATTATGCTACCGTGTAAGTGTGGTGCTATTTTGAGTCTTGTTAGTGGAATAAAAAGTGATTTCTTTTCACGTTACTCTGTGCCCCGTTGACTAGCGTTATAAGCTAATTAACAGTTTGTACTAAAACCGGTCACGGTCGATTAGCATGAAAACATATCCCAGAGAACGGACCAACTCGGTACACATGTGTTATTAACCCCAGGTTCATTTTGCACCAGCATTGTCCTTTAAAGGTCCTGACAAGTTTCCCCAAAAAACATTTGCCAAAAGTAAAATTCTCTCTTGATCATTTCAATAAGTTTTCATGTAATTGAGACACACTTGTCAGAACACTTAGATATAAATTTGCATCATGATGAAGGCTTGTCCCCTGCCGACAGATGTATTGACCAGCATCCTCAGCAGTGATGTTGTTAATGACCAAAGAGCAGGAAGTGACCAGACTAATCCTGGCAGCTCGGGCTGATCTCTTCTCAACTTTTCCTTCCTGAACCTCAGTGAAACTCTGAGATTGATCTCTGTTGTAAAACCATGTAATGATGGAGCATGTTGTGTCATAGGGGGATGCACTGGCACAGGGCAGAATAACATCATGTCCAGATCTGTTGTAGAGATAGATAGGTTCTCCACTGATGCCTGCTGGGAAGGAAAGAATACATGTTCTGTAAGAAATGACACATAAAACCATCTGTATGGAGACTAAACAGTTAACATGAGGATTTTATTTCATTTTATTCTCAAACAAAAACAAAGATTGTTCCGTTATGAACTGTTTTTTATTGTTGCTGTTTTTTCACATTTGCAACCACAGGGAGGGAGTGTGTGACCCTTGGCCATCTAGTGGTTGTGTTTATATGAGAGTAATTCTCATTTCTATCTCAGTAAATCAGTGAATCAAGGGCTCTTTGGGATACAGCTTACCTCCACTGTGAAAACTGGAACAAAACAAGCAACACACAGTCGATCACAATGAACAAATGTTGTCTGAGACCAAATAAAAACTGCAGATCTGATCCTATTGTCTTTGTTTACTTGTGTATGTACTTGTGTCATCGTATGCACTTTATGTACTAACTGCATCAAGTTACAATGTAAATACAATAATACTTTATCATATGGATGGAATAAAGTGTCGGATCTAAAAAAATGCCTTACCACCCCAGTTTGGTGTCAATTGCCGTCACATTTTAACACATTTTGACGTCTATTTATATTTATTTTAGAATTAGTGTGTTAAAAAACGAAACATATATAATTTAATGATCTGTTATGGCCACATTTTAGACTCAGTGATCAGATTAAGTTCAATAAACACACAAAAATGTCTGAAGATTTGGATATTTAACAATTTATTGTTTTCTAATGCCACATTTATATATTTCTATCTGAATCTATTCTATTTCTATTACCAATGTGCCACAATAGTGTAATGTTATTGAGTTAAAATGTGATTAAATCAGCAGATATTTCTGCCACCCTCTTACCACACCATGAATATTTCTCTAGATCCGCCCCTGCGTGGAGTTTAAAGGAACCATTGAGAACACAGAGAGCAGACTGACTATATGATCATGACTTATCTTTATATCTACTATGTTGAAGTATATATGCATTTAAGGATCTATCTAAAAATAATTGATTCATATTGCTGTCCTGTTCTTGTATCACAGCCGTTGGTTCATTTTTACAGGCCAGAAAGTTGATCAAAGCTCATTAAAATGGCTTTTAAAGTAAGACAATAGTGACTACTTCCTCATTATTTTTCACACGAGCCGTTAAAAAATGTTAATGGAAATTCTCAAACTCTAGTGTTTCTATTAATAATATTGTTATTACCATTTTAATAAGAAAACAGAGCTTTACCTTCAAAGTGAAGCACAAAAATAAGGATTAATTCCAGTAGAGACATTTTGTGTCTATTCTCTGTCAGCAGGCGGACGCTGTGTGAGGCTTTTCTTCTCCACTATAGATCTGTAAATGGCGACGATTAAACAAAGTTCCTGTTTGTGGATGACTTAATGTGTGAAAATAACTTTCACCCAGCCCCCCACAAGTGCCACAGAGTTAGACTATCACTTCTATGTTCCTTTCAAGCAGACTGCACACGACAGCCACAAAAGAAAGAAACTTGTGTTTCACAAACTTGATACTTCTTGAACAAAAAGATTAGAATATAACTTTTTATTAAGTTTTTAAATCATTTAAGATACATTAAAAGTGACTTTACTAGACACAGATACAGATCATAATCTAAAGGAAGCGATGAGACTTCCTCAAAATATACAAACAGTACATGTTAAGACACATTAATATCCTTCTTTCCTTTTTTTTTATCAGATGAAAACCTTGTATGTCCAAATGTCAACATGCTGGAAACTCAAATGGTAATCTTTTATCAGCTGGATGATGGTACATTTTGGTCTCATTTAAAGGAATTTGTGAGAGTTATTTTAGCCCCAGACTCAAGTGTGATCAACATACAGAGTAATGGAAATGACGTCATTGTTCATTCTGTCACTTCAGGGGTGAAAAGAGGAAGGAACAACAACATTTTGACAGATCTGTTTCTGCTGCAGTGCTCCCCCACGTGGTTCTTTATTTTCCTTCATGTACACACTGTGTGTCACTTTTAACTAAATATACAATATGTTAATGACTATTCATTGTAACAGAACATATATTATCACTTGAGAAATGTTGTGTTGTAACATAACACCAATGTATACAACTGGAGTACTTTATTTACCTTTATTACAAAACAGTAAAATATTTACACACAGGCTTTTATATAAGTTGAAACAGTAGAAAGGTCTGGGCAGTGTTTATGAACATAAAGTCTAACTTTAACAAAAGATATGAGTTTTGATGGTTTAAGGATATGAAACTCTTCTGCAGCCAATCTATTTATAGTCAGATTTCAGATGGTTACAGACAGTTTTTATTACACATAAATTAAACAATTTAAACAGAAATAAAATTATTTAAAATAATTTAAAGCTCAAGTTACCAATTTATTGCTTCTTTGAAAAAGAAAATCTGAAAAAAAAAACTCTGACATATTATCACGTATACAACAGATGTTATACAACAGCTGTATTTACAACATCCAGCAAAGCAGCAGCAAGTTGTGTTCTTATCCACCTGTTTAATGTAAGCCCAACATTCACTCTTGTTTTAGGTCTGTGTTGATCTCCACCAACTCCTTAAAAACATTTCTGGCTCTTTAGCTGCTAAATGTTCCTTTATGTTCAACAGCTCGTCCCTAACTGTGTCTGTTGGTTGTTTGGTGCTGAGCAGGTAGTTTACAGTAGAGCTTCCTGCTACTGCTGGAAACAGGGCTGGTGCATACTTTTAAAAACAGGGAGGATTTCAAAATGCTTTCAGACTTTCAGTGCCTTTGATTTGTGCATTCTGGTGACTTAAAGCACTTAAAATGACAAAATAATAAGCACACTGCAACATATTTTGCTGTTAATTCTCAGGGAAGACTTAATAATAACCGTGAACTTGTTTGAATCTCTGGCATAAACTCATGTTCTTCAGTTTTCACTCAGTCATTATTATTGTGCCTTGAAAAGCACAATACTACTCTTCCCCGTACTTATTATTATTCTTCCGTACGTTTTTCGGCCTGCTTCTCCTCCCGCAGTTTTGGTCGCACATACACAAAAAAGGTATCACAACGTGCGGCTCGGTGAGGACATTAGTGCTGTGACTTTTCTAAGCGTTTCGCCAAACAGTTTGCCGATAAATCGCCAAAAACCTGTCCAAAAAATGAATGGGTGTGTATTGCGAGAATGTTCAACTGCCAGAGTGCGTGACATCATCGCTAGAGTGTGGGGAGAGAGAAAAAATTGTCGAAAAATAAATTTGTAAACTGCTCTCAAGGCCACAAATATCACTCTACAGAAATAATTTATAGTTAGAAACGTAGGTAAACTCGTTGGGGTCGCAGTGATACCACTGTTGAAGCTGTCAGACAAATAGTTTTGGCGGGAGACGCACTGATGCGCCAGCAACACCCTCTCACGGCCCCATCTACTCCCATGTTAAATGTAGAGGAGAAATGTTTAAAGGAGCTCGTTGAACCTCTTCTCTCTCAATCTCCCCAGGTCACATTTTTTAACTTTAACCACTGAAACTCGGCAGTGCTATAGTCAACAAGATGACGACGCTCACGGTCTTTTCGGTTTTCATTTCGGTCGTTCCTGGCCATGGGTTCGAGGGGATTCATTTTAAATGTTTCTGTCTCTCTGAGGAGTTAGAGACAGAGAGAGAGCGCCGCGCAGCTGCTGTGGCCTCCCTGATTGCCATGACAACCAAAGCCTGCCTCTCACACACACACACACACACACACACACACACACACACACATACACACACACACACACACACACACACACACACACACACACACACACATAGCTAGCTACAGAGGCTGACATGGCATTAATATGCTAGTGCTAGCGTGCTAGAGAGCAAGGCACAATCAAAATTTCTTTAGGAATTTTCTAGTTCATTCTCTTGTCTCAGGGTTGGAAAAGTATGATTTACTCAAGCGTTAATTCAAAGGCCAAAGAGCACATCATCAACTAACATTAGTTTGTGAGGTTACAGTAGGGTGACCAGACGTCCCAGATTTTCGGGGACAGTCCCCGATTTGGCCGACCTGTCCCCGGTTAAAGCTGTCCCCGAGAATGTCCCCGACTTGAATGGGGGAGAAAAAAGTTGCGTATGGATGCACACTCCAGTTATTATGGTTAAACCAGTTTAACTAACGTGCTGACGTTACGCAGTAAATGGCTTGTGTCGACCAGCTGGTCTCTGCTCCCGCTGTGCTGCGGCACATCCACGCCACAACAGCAGAGCGCTCCTCTGCTCGTCCGTGCAGCTGCAGGTGAGTGACGGGGGAGCCAGCTGGAGAGCGCCTCCTTTTTTATTTTATTTTAGGGGCACCGTCCTTACAGGGGGGAAGCACGCGTTGCAGGTTGCACTCAGAGTTTGTTCTGACTTTCTATCACAAGGAGTGTACAGCGTAAGTGTAAATCCTCTCATGTAATGCTTTGCTGTGAAATATGGCTGAAGTCACAAGTGGAAGTGTGCACATGTTGACAAGCTCCCGTGAGTTGATTGACATAGCTAAAAAAAAAAAAAAAAAACTATAAATAATAATAATAAGAAGAAGAATCAGAGTCAAATCAGAATCCAAGTTCTTCATATTGGTTAACAGTTTGGAAGGGTTAAAGGTAACTTCTTATTGGCTACTCATTTGCTTTGTCAAAATACATTAACATGTAATTGCCCCTATTATTTATTTTATAACGATAACGATTAACGATTTTGACCACCACGCTAAAAAATTTCCCCGATTTTCATTTCGGAAATCTGGTCACCTTAGGTTACAGATTACATTAAAGAAGCATTGATGGTTGGGAGGATAACTTTTAGCCTGTATTGTTGTCCATGTGGAAAAATGATGATATTTGACTTTCTGGTGAGCTGACGTTGGTGTGGAAGTTGTTGATCAGTGCAGTCTAGTAGTAGCAGGACGTGCTTCTACAGTTTCATAATTGACTTTGTCGCCATCCTGATGCACCTGTGAAATACAACACAACCAATGAGATTCTGAATTGTTTGAA